AGTACTCTAGTGTCTAAGCAAACATCAAAGGTCGGGGCATCCAATTTAATGTTTCTAAAGAACTGCTCCTCGTGGCGAGGAGGAAACTGAGTATCGTGACGGTGATGTTCCTCCTCCCGTTCACAAATGTGATGTCCATCCCTACGGTCATGTCTAACATGTTGTCAACCACCTTGTCGACGACGATAATGTCTATTACTGGACGCTTTAGAGTTCTCAGCTTCTGTCAAATATAGGATTTGTTCAAAGGTGTTCAACCTAGCAGCTAAGTCTCTATTCCCTTCACAAGTAACAGACATCTCAGTTTGGACAGCCGCTAATTGAGTTTGTAACCGCTCTTGGTTAGTGGCAAGTTATGCTAATTGTCGAGTAGCAGCATCAAATTAGGAAGGGTCCATGGTCAGGATACTGGAACTAGATATGACAAGATGATCACTACGCAACTGCATGCAATGTACGACCAGCTAAATGACGTGTATGGAGAGATCAATAAACAACCCGAGCATTTAAATCTACAATTTTTTAAAATTTTTATAATTTTTTTGGGAATTATGTAAATCCAAATATGGCAAGTTAATACCATTGATCTATGTAAAATAACAAAGCAAGGGTCAAAGACTAGTCAGCAACTTAATCACGTAAAATAAGTAAGATAAAAGTGGAAATATAACAATGTTAGAGATTTAGGAACGTAAATTTTAGGTAAAGATTAGAAATAGAGCAGCACAAAGAAGTTAATCGATACAATTCTAAGATAAACAGTAATATAAACCAAAGATAAAAAAACAGTAGCTCCCTTTTTTTGTTCGTTGAAATAACTGAGTCAATCAACAGGTCAAAGAACCTATCTACAAAACACTTTTTTTTTAACAAAATCAAGACACTTTATATATAAACAAACATGGGCAAAATTGAACCCAAATTAAAAATTACAGCAGTGGTCCAAAACGAAGGCCCAACACGTGAAGCCGATCGTGTCTGGACTGTCGATCGATGATTGGTCTGGTTGCTGACGAGGTAAGTGAACTGCTTGGGTCACCGATTAGAAGCAGTTGGTGGGTAGTGAATTGGCGACAGAACATAACAATAGGGTGAGCATTGACTTTTTTTTACAGCGTCAATTACTACTTGTTATGGATTTTTGGGAATATTGTGTAGATGAAGTATTGGGTGATTGGGTCGGGTTTGGAGTAGCAGAACATGTCAGCGATGAAGATTCTGTCGCGACGAATATGGACCGATTGTGATTGAGGGTTTTATTAGTTTGGGGGTAGCAGCGACAGTGGATGGTGGTTGTAGAGGGTTATTTTGTATGTGGATGGTTGCTGGAGATCTTGGATAGAACAATTGCAGTTGCAGCTCTGTTTGATGGAGGAAGCTATGTTTAGCTCTGATACCAAATTTGATGTAGAATTAATTGGAATTCAGCAGAAGAAAGCAAAAGAAAAAGTAGAAGGCAGAAAAAGTGCAGAAAGGGAAGAAACCGTAGAGAATGGGGAAAGAGAGAAGCCAGGGGAGGGAGGACGTGGGCAAAGCTAAACGTGATTAATTTCATTAATCAACTGTCTCAATTATAATGCAAAAACCATATAAATAGTAAAACATAATCCTACTGGTGAAGGGCTTAAGTCAACCCAATAATAGAAAACATAAATAATAAAAAATCCACAATAGAAAATAAATCTCGATGGATGTCCGCATCACTTTAGTTCCTAA